AGCCATTGATTCTCTGAGCAAGGAGGGGAGAGGGAGCCACCCCTCCCCTCTCGTGTCTTGCCCCAGCATAGAGCCTCTTTACCATGTGTCCATCTCTTTATGGAGTAAGTGTTCAGTTCTCAGTGAAGGACATATTGGAACTGACAGCATTACCACTGTGTATATAATATGTCATGGCTGACAGATGAAGAAATGGGATTTTGTGAAATGCAACGGAATATAGCCATCAGCCCAGGCTGGAGGAGAGCCTTGTTCTCCGGAGCCCTGAGAAAGAGCTTCTCAGTCAGCTCTGCCCCTGCTCTGCAGCCCGTCTGAGTGAAGGGTTGAAAGCACCATTTCCCCCCATTACTCCTGATCCTTTGTTGTGCCTCCCTTTTGTCCACGCTGCCCTTTGATTGAGGCACTCTCCCAGCAGGGCAAATTGCAGCTGAAATGGTCTGAACAATGGGATCAGGCAGTGATCCAGATGGAGGGACAGGGAACTGGCATGCTTAACTGCATTACTTTCAGCTGGTCGACCCTGGTGTAAGTGAGCAGGCCCCACCTTGCGTTTGCCAGAGCAAAGCCCACCCCCTGACAGTCACATGGTCTCCCCTGAAGGCAGAATTAATTGAAAAGTGAAACAACCAGAGATGGTGGAGAACTAATAGAGCAAATTGTATTGAAGAAGAGTTACCTTACCTGGGCCTTCAGCCTGAAATATGTGGGCAGGATTGTTTTGTCCAACATCTAATGGGTTTCAGTGTTCTAACTTCATTATGAGTCATTACCAAGCAAACGACTGGTGGGGTGTTGTGTTTTCTGTGTAGTCACATATTTTGACCTGGTACTGGGCACCTCACCCATCCATCTATCCTCCCATTCGTTTACTCTTTGAATGCACATTTCCTAAGAATGCAACGAAAGCTTGGGCCTGTCATAGGGAGCTCTGGTGTCCTACGGGTAAGGAGTTGTGCTGCCATCCCAAAAGTTTTCTTAATTTTCATGTGGATATTTACAGGTTTAGCTTGAGATATCAACATCCTAACACTTAAACAAGGGGGGAAACAGCCAACCGAAACCCAAACCCAGTATTGAAAATAGGATTTCCCAGAGTTGGAGAGACAGAAAATAATGCAAAGGATTCCAGGAACTAGTGCAGAGGAAGCCCTGCTTTCATCACTACACTGAATTCTACCTCCGAGGATCTGCCGTCTATCGTTCAACTCTTAGTAAGGATTGTAAGAAATGGTTTTGATAAAGTGTAAACTCTAGAGTTTCAATGGCAAATCGAAATAGATATGATAGACAGACAGAGGCATGGACAGAGGGACAAACAGCAAGGCAAACTTACTGTAAGCAAAGAGATACCAGATGGTTGTTTGATTGATTGATACGTAGAGAGAGGTACAGGAAGTTGGATAAGTAGCCAGATAGATTGATAAGCAGACTTAGAAACAGGTAGACAACAAAGGCCTTACAAAAAAAAAAGGCATTACAGATGAAAAGTTCCTAAATCCAGTGAGGCAATTATCTTCTACCACTGAGCAGGGATACTATTGAACCCTTCCTTCAGTTTATTAATATTTTCCCCTCTGAAACAAATCTTAGATTAATGTCTCTTATAAGTTTGATCTTATGTGTGTGAAATAATAAGCTTTAAGGAATACCTCTTTGTTCTAGGAACATGGCTTACAATCCATATGGAACAATGTACTGTCTCTAATAAAAATGTTTTCATTAACTTAAAATGATGGGTTCACCTGCCAGTTCCCTTTGTGGCATTATAGACACCGATCCTCATTCCACACCTGTGCCAGGCTCCACCTTCCCTCACCGAAGAGTCAGTCTTAAGGGAAGGTGCTGAAATCTGCAGACATTTCTCTAGAATAAATTTAAAGGAAGAAACAGCTGAGGAAGTTCAGAGAGGTGACCTTGAATGACAATGACCTTTTTATCCTCCATGTATTTTCAGGGGACTCAGGGTTCCTTTGAGAATGTTCAAGATTTCCTCAAAACAGCATATCCCGTCAACTGCCAAAAGAACAAAGAGATAATGTCTTGGAGAAAATTAAACCAGAGGGTTCTTTAGAGGAAAGGATGGAGAAGTTTCATCTCGCATACATTGGGCGTGTTATTAGGAAAGGCAGGCCTTGGAAAAAGACATCATGCTTTGAAATGGTGGAGGGTCAGCAGAAAAGAGGAAGACCCTTAATGAGATGGATTGACATAGTGACGACAGCAATGGGCCCATGTGTGTCAGAGATGCTGAAGATGGCACGAGAGAGGACAGGGTGCAGCTCTGTTTTTCATAGGGTCACTGTGAGTCATACTCACCTCGACAGCACCTAACAACAAGGTTACTGTGGAAGGACCAACAACACCTAACAACAACAGAGTTACTGTGGAAGAACCCCTGTTGACATAGTAGATTAAGTGTTGGGCACTTAAATTTTTTTAATTCAAATCCACTAGTCACTTGAAGGGAGAAAGAGGATACAGCTTCTCTCTGTTGAGATTTACAGCCTCAGAGACCCAGTGCTGTTTCAACCAGGAGTTTGGAATTCACTTGGTACCTGGGTGCTGTGCTCTCTAGAAGGATTACTTATATAGAGTTCTAAGCAAGGGGTTACTTATTTAGAGTTCTAAGCCAGGGGTCTTTGGTGGCTTAGTGGTGAAGAATTGAGCTGCCAGTGCAAAAATTGTTGTTATTGTTATTGTTACGTGCCATCGAGTCACTTGCGACTCATTGCGATCCTATGTACAAGAGCCCTAAACACCGTTCTATCCTGTGCCATCCTCAGCATCTCAAACACACTCATTCCCACCACCCCACTCACAGAATCGATCCATCTCATCGAGGGTCTTCCTCTCCTGCGCCGTCCCTCCACTCTCCCAAACATGATGTCCCTCTCTAAGGACCAGTCTCTCTTTGCAATATGCCCTAAGTATGTCAGGCGAAGCTTCAGAATCCTGACTCCAAGGAGCATTCTGGCTTCACTCTCTCTAGAACAAACCTGTTTGTTCTCCTAGCAGTCCATGGTATATTCAGTACTCTTCTCCAGCACCACAGATCAAAGGCATCAATTCTCTTTCTATCATCCCTAGTCACTGTCCAACTCTCTGATGCATAGCACGTAATTGCGAAGAATATAGCCTGGATCAGGTGCACCTTAGTCTCCAGCCTGATGTTGTTGCTCTTCAGTACTCTTGAGAGGTCCCTCACAGCTGACTTTCCCAATGCAATTTGTCTCTTGATTTCCTGGCTGCTGTTACCAAGAGTGTTGACTGTGGAACCAAGTAAACTAAAACTGTTAACTATCTCAATCTCTTCACCATCCATACTGATGCTGCCAATTGGCCCAGTGGTGAGAATCTTTGTTTTCTTGATGTTTAGCTTCAATCCGTGTTGAAGGCTGCAGTCCTTGAGCTTCTGCAGCAAGAGCTTCAGGTCCTCCTGATATATGGTTCAAATTCACCAGCTGCTCCTGTGTGATTTATTGCCTCAGAAAATCCACTGGAGGGTCAGCTCTGACTTGGTTCTGACTCACGTATACAGTAACAACCTCTGAACATGGCAATACCTTATGGACACCCAAAGATGTGACAGTTCAGGAGATTTCTGTGCTCTTTCTTTGACTTTTCCCCATGCTTTTGGCTGACCCACTTTCCCTGCATACAGTCTTCATGTTCCTCACCTTATTTCCTGTCCTTTTGGTATTTTATTTGCATCATTGAGCTAGGACACTTGTGAATCTTGAGATCTTAGACTCTAGGGTAAAATGCAAGTTGAAATGAACTGGAAGGGGGGGGGAGCAAGAGAAAGATAGGGGTACTGGAGAGAAGAGGCAGCCTGGGTTCAACAAACGAGCCCTGGGGGTCAGACAGTCCCCCTTCTCTCCTGGGCTCTGCCGTCTTGTGCAGGACTCTTAATTCGTCCAGCTTCGGTTCCCTCATTTGTAAGCTACAACCACAGGACTCGGTGACCTTTAGAGCTCTTCTTTCTTCAAAATTGTTCTTATTCTGAAAGTGCATTACGCCGAGATAGGTCAAGTGTCCTGTTTTTTAAAGGAGAAGGGGGGAAAAAAAGTGTAATTAAAGCATCCTTAGTAATGCTCAAAATGAGTGCACTGTACTTTTTTCTAAACCACTTCAATTGAGAAAGCCTTGATAAAGCACTCTAGAATTAAAGGTAGCTGATAATCGTTATTTGTTTCTAACTTCCAAATAATTAAGCCTGTTGACATTCAATTTTAAATCATTCTAACTTGCTCATCTTTGTCTCCCCCTCCCACCTTTCTGTAGGCTTATGAGCGGCCACAGAAACATCCACCTCTCCACTATGACCCAGCGCTCCCGCAGGACTTCACCGGTGACACCTTAAAACCAAAGCACCAGCAAAAAAGCAGCAGCCAGAACCATGTGGACTGGTCCACCCCCGCTGACGGTGGACCCACCACCCAGAATTGCTTCATCAGTTCCGACTCTGGCAGAGAAACCGCAAGCACCAGCAAGATCCCAGCTCTTGAGCCCGTGGCTTCCTTTGCCAAGTCCCAGGGGAAGAAGGGCAGTGGGGGGAGCGCATGGAGTCAGCTGTCCAGTAACAGCAAAGACCTGCTCCTGGGAGGTGTAGCTCCCTCCCCGAGCAACCACAGCTCACCAGCCCCAGCCAGCAACTCTGCCGAGTTGAGTGGGCTTCAGCCCTTGGTGGATCAAGAGGGAGGAGGTGCAAAGGAACCCCCAGAACCTCCTGTTATCAGCAGCAAGAAAAAGTCCAGTAAGAAGGATGTGATCAGTCAAAGCATGCCAAGCGCCGACCTGGATTGGGTCAAGAATGCCCAGAAAGCATTTGACAACCCAGAAGGGAAACGGGAAGGCTTCTCTGTAGATAATGCCCCAGAGGCGTCACCAGCCAGGCAGGGTGGGACTTCTGTCAGTAATCCCGAAAATGACACCAGTCATGTCCGGATTACTATCCCCATCAAGGCACCCTCTTTGGACCCCCTGAGCCATAAGAGGAAAAAGAGACAGTCCATTAAAGCAGTGGTAGAAAAGATCCTCCCCGACAAGGCCTTGGCTGCTGGAATCCCCATGAGCAGCGAAGTAGTAAGCAGGATACTTGCCAGTCCTGACGGAAGTAAGAAGGACCCTCGCGTCCCCAAGTTGAGTAAAATGATCGAGACTGAGTCCCCCTCAGTTGGCCTCGACACTGGTGGAAATGCCGAGAAAGTCATCCCAGGAGGGGTTCCCAAGCAGCGGAAGCCACCCATGGTCCTGGCCCCGTCCGGGTGCACGGATCACTCGCCGTCGAGAAAGCTGCCAGAAATCCAGCATCCAAAGTTTGCGGCCAAGCGGAGGTGGACGTGCAGCAAGCCCAAAGCCGCCAGTATGCTCCGGGAGGCGGTCATGGCCACCTCCGACAAACTGATGGTGGAGCCCCCGTCTGCCTACCCCATCACCCCCTCCAGCCCTCTGTACACTAACACAGACAGTCTAACTGTGATCACGCCGGTCAAGAAGAAACGGGGGCGCCCGAAGAAGCAGCCTCTGCTCACCGTGGAGACGATCCACGAGGGGACATCCACCAGCCCGGTGAGTCCCATCAGCAGGGAGTTTCCTGGCACCAAGAAGAGGAAGAGGCGGCGCAATTTGGCCAAGTTGGCCCAGCTGGTGCCCGGCGAGGACAAGCCCATGAGCGAGATGAAATTTCACAAGAAGGTGGGAAAGCTCGGCGTGTTGGATAAGAAGACCATCAAAACGATCAATAAGATGAAGACACTCAAGAGGAAAAATATCCTGAACCAGATCTTGTCCTGTTCCAGCAGCGTGGCTCTGAAGGCGAAGGCGCCCCCTGAGACCAGCCCCGCGGCCACTGCCATCGAGAGCAAACTGGGAAAGCAGATTAACGTCAGCAAGAGGGGCACCATCTACATCGGCAAAAAGAGGGGCAGGAAGCCCAGGGCGGAGCTGCCACCCCCATCTGAAGAACCCAAAACAGCCATCAAGCACCCCAGGCCTGTTTCCAGCCAGCCGGACGCTCCACCCGTGCCTTCCAGCTTCCAGTCCCTTGTGGCATCTTCACCAGCAGCTATGCACCCACTCGCCCCCCAGCTCGGTGGGTCCAATGGCAACCTGAGCCCCGCCAGCACTGAAACCAATTTTTCCGAGTTGAAAACTATGCCAAATCTCCAGCCCATCAGTGCTCTTCCTACCAAAACCCAGAAGGGAATCCACAGCGGAACCTGGAAGCTGTCTCCACCCCGGCTGATGGCCAACTCCCCATCCCACCTCTGCGAGATTGGCTCCCTGAAGGAGATAACGCTGTCCCCGGTGAGCGAGTCCCACAGCGAGGAGACCATCCCGAGCGACAGTGGCATCGGGACGGACAACAACAGCACGTCCGATCAGGCTGAGAAGAGCTCGGAGTCCCGGCGGAGGTACTCGTTTGATTTCTGCACGCTGGACAACCCGGAGGCCATCCCGTCCGACACCAGCACAAAGAACCGGCATGGCCACCGGCAGAAGCATCTCATTGTGGACAACTTCCTGGCCCACGAGAGCCTCAAGAAGCCAAAGCACAAGCGGAAGCGGAAGAGCCTGCAGAATCGCGACGACCTCCAGTTCCTGGCCGACCTGGAAGAGCTCATCACCAAGTTCCAGGTGTTCAGGATCTCCCACCGGAGCTACACCTTCTACCACGAGAACCCGTATCCCAGCATTTTCCGGATCAACTTTGACCACTACTACCCGGTGCCATATATCCAGTATGACCCGTTGCTCTATCTTCGGAGGACTTCAGACTTGAAGTCAAAGAAGAAGCGGGGTAGGCCTGCAAAAACCAATGACACCATGACAAAGGTGCCTTTTTTACAAGGGTTCAGCTACCCTATCCCCAGTGGGAGTTACTATGCACCCTATGGAATGCCTTACACATCAATGCCTATGATGAACCTCGGTTACTACGGTCAGTACCCAGCCCCCTTGTACCTGTCGCACACGCTGGGAGCGGCGTCCCCGTTCATGAGGCCCACAGTGCCACCACCTCAGTTCCACACGGGCTCCCACATGAAGATGTCCGGGGCGGCTAAGCATAAAGCGAAGCATGGAGTCCACCTCCAGGGACCCGTGGCCATGGGCCTCGGCGACATGCAGACGTCCCTGAATCCGCCCAAGGTGGGCAGCGCCGGCCTCGCCAGCGGCCGGCTCCACAAGAGGAAACACAAACACAAGCATAAGCACAAGGAAGACCGGATCCTGGGGCCCCACGACAACCTGAGCGGCCTCTTTGCAGGCAAAGCCGCAGGCTTCCCCAGCCACCTCCTGAGCGAGCGGCTGAGTGGGGCAGACAAGGAGCTCCCGCTGGTGAGCGAGAAGAGCAAGCATAAGGAGAAGCAGAAATACCAGCACAGCGAGGCCAGTCACAAAGCATCGAAAACCAACTTTGAGGTGGACACCCTGTCAACACTGTCTCTCTCGGATGCCCAGCACTGGACGCAGGCCAAGGACAAAGTGGACTTGAGTGGAGAGCCCACAGAGCCCTGCACAAAGCGGTACTCTGGTGGCAGCGGGGACGGTGGCAGTACAAGATCCGAGAGCCTGGATGTGTTCAGTGAAATGAACACTTCGAGTGACAAGTTGGACAGTGACCTGAGCGGGAGTAAAAGGAGGAGCTATGAAGGCTTTGGGACGTACAGGGAAAAGGAGCTCCAGGCCTTCAAGATGAACCGCAAAGAGAGAAGTTCTTTCGAGTCCTCCGTGTCTCCAGGTAAGACCTGCTTGCTCCTCACACTTGGACTGTCTTGTCAATTCATTGTTGAGAGTTACACGTCAGAGGCCACATTGCGTCCATTAGTCTGCAAAGAGCTAGTAGGAGTCAAGTGGAAACTGGTCTCCGGGCCCGTTTTCATTGGCCACACATTGTGTTGATTGTTCACTTGATATTTGCCATCTGTCTTCCTTTATGGGGCCACTGGCTGTGAAACTGTAGCTGCAGATATTGCCCTGGTAACTGCCCAGACTGTAAGCATACTGAAAGCAGTTAGTCTTTTATCAGATACTACTCTTAGCTCTTACTTTGACATGATGTTGTAGTTTCCTAGTTGAGTAAGACCTCTAAGAAAACCCACTAGGAATAGCAGCAAGATCCAAGAAAGCCAGAGCTGGAAGGGAGTGAATATCTGGCTTATGTGATATGCTGACTACAAAGCTAGGCACCCTCGATGGGGGCTTTAGTAGGCCATTGGCATGTGATGACCAACATCTCCTCAACTTTTAACTTGTAAGAGGCCACATTGTCCTCTCTTTGTCCAAATTTTCAGAGTGTGTGTGTGTGTGTGTCTGTGTCTGTGTCTATCTGTCTGAGAGTCTCCATGTTCTAGCTTTTCTTGTGTCTGACTTTCAATCATTTTGTTCAAAATCCTTTCGCTTTCATCTTCTTATTTGACCTTCAGCCATAAGAGGTGGGAACAAATAGGCAGCATGATAATGTCCTAGACAAAAGAGAACTGAGTCTGACACCCAACTCTATCCTTAACCTATCTGTTAGTTGAGGGGTTGGGCCAGACCTTTTTACTTGGATATAACATGTTTCTGTTTATATCCCTGTCACGTCTTTACTCTCCGCCCCCCCATTTTTTTAAATAACACTCTTCTTGCAATCCAAAAAGACAGGTGTTTCCATTCCTATTTTGTAGGTCAGAGTTCTGAGTCTCAATGCAATCAAGAAACTTGGCTAGCTTCAGAAAGCTACCACTTTTGACTCTAAGCCCAGGGCCTTCCCCATTGCATTATAGTGAGTCTTCACATGGCTCTTGATTGACGCCAAGGCTTGAAGGCAGGAGCTGTTCTCCACCCCAGAGCTCTTCTGTTCCACTACCACTCTTACCCTTGGAATCACATCCATCCTCCTTTTATGTGCCTTTCTCTAAGGCTTCTGCAGCACGCTGATTATGTGATGATTGCAGAAAGGACTCATTAAGGAGAGTAGACCTCTCTTTACTCAACCTTAACCAATGAAGAGGGATTCCTTATGGCTTAACCTTTTCTGAATACCAGCATGGAAATATATAGACATAGATCGACATTTCACTTATGCCCTTACCAAAATTCAACTCACTGAAGATTTTTGCCGCTGTTTTCTGCCCATCTTGTAAGACTTTTTTTTTTTACCCAACATTTTAATGACTCATACTTGTTGGTGGCTTCTATTTCTGTATGAGTTATGTCCAGTGTCCCTGCACATCTTGTTGACTGTCTTACCACAGCAGACCAGATTCACTTCCTTTCCACTTCTTCAAAGCCTTTGTCTCTCCTTGTTTATATTACAAAATGCCCCCTCTGTATTTCTGAACCCCAAAGCATGAGGAGGAAAAAAAAGACTAATCAGCAGTTGGAACACAGTGGTCAGAACTGGCATAGTATTAGGGATTTCAGATGCTAACCCAGAAATTGGCAGTATTAAACCTCCCCCATACCACTCCTCCACTCCATAGAAGAAAAATGAGGCAATCTACTTCCATAAAGACTCACCACCTTAGAAACCTCATGGACCATTCTATCCTGTCCTACAGGGGTGCTGTTGGTCAGAATCTACTTGATGGCAAAAGGTTCAGTGGGTCAGAGTTTGCCAAAATTTCCCTAAGTAACTCATGTAATTGGCTTCAAAGAGTACTAAGCCTCATAAAATGTGGGGGGAAAGTAAGGTGTGGTTTCTGGAAGCCCTACAGTTTGGGGGCAGTTTTATCTGAGTGGAGGCATCTATTTCAGCTGGATAATTCTGAGGGTTATGATTGGAAGTAAGTTACTGCCCTTCCCGTAACCTTTCTCCTCTCCTCACTCTCCACTCTGGATCCATTCCCTTGGCATCTGAACGTCCTCCTCTTCTCTAAAATAGATAAGGCACAAATAGAGATGTCATCGCTGGCCTGTTGAGGACCAGATTTAGGAGCTGAATCAAGACGGGGCTCTGAGCTCTCTCTAGGATCAGTGCTGATGAAAGGCGCCATGTGAATGTAAGTCATTACTATTATGAGAAGAGAAATTAGGGAGCCCATTTAGCAATAGTAGCACTTGTACACCCCATTTCCTCTTTCTCGCTTGGAAAACCATTCATTCTCCATTCCCCTGGCCCAGCGCATGGCTACAGTCTGGTCTTATGAGCCTTCTTACAACATAGCTACCCTCTCCGTACACAGGCTTCTTTTGTTTGCCTGTTTGTTTGTTTGTTGTAGAAGGTAGTAACTCATTTAACCTACTTGTTAAATGTATAGTGGTTTTGTTATGTGCTATCTAGTCAGGACTGACCCGCAGCTGAACCTCCAGCAGGTTTTTAGGAGCAGTAAATCACACAGGAAGAGATTGCCCATTTCCTGCCACGGAGTAGCTGGTGGATTTGGACTATATGCCTTTGGATTGGCTTCTTACTTCTAGGCCACCAGAGCTCCCCTGTTAAATGTATACTGGTTACTAAGTATTTATAAAAAGCTGGCACAGGACCAAAGATGGATAAATAGTGGTTGTTAGTGTCCATTAAAGTAGATGCCAATTCATGACAACCACGCAAATAACAGAAAAAAAAAGAGTGTCTGGTCCTGTGCTATTTTCATGGTCTTTAGCATGGTCAAGTCCATAGATGTGGCCACTGTGCATTTTGAATTCTTTCCAAACTAGGAGGTTCCTCTTTTGGCACTGTGTTGAGCACCATTCTGTGGCAATGGATAAGGCTTTCGTGGAATAACTTTCAAAAAGTGAATTATTGGGTCTTTCTTCCTAGTTTCTCTTAGTCTAGAAGCTTTGTCAAAATCTGGCTGTAATGCGTGAACCAGCTTTGTATTTGACACACAGGTGGCATAGTGTTCAGCATCATAGCAACACATAAGCCACATAATTTGACCAACTGACAGGCAGGTGGTGGAGATACATGTGGGAAGATGAAATCCATGGCCTGTCTGAAATGAAAGATGCCTGTCAGTCACCATTGAGCCTCTCTCCACCAGGAATCACCGTCTCTCACACACTGACAGGCAGCAGATTGCCATGAGAGCAAACCTACCAGGGATAGCAACCCCCAGGCAGTCTGATACCAATGTGCCCTGCAAGTCACGTTCCCATAAGGCAGCAGAAGAGGACCTGAGAGCGACTCATATTCTTTCTGTTCAAACCACTTGGAAAAAGCCTTTGTATGCTTTGAACTAAAATTACTTAGGACACTTCTTACCTCCTGTCTCTTGCTGTCACGGTTCCCATCAGTTGATGGAAGGACAGTAAGTGGAGTAAATCTGCATGTGCTACCTCCAAGTTCAGGGCAATTATTAGTCAAGGTCGCCATCCTGCATCCCCAACTGTCAAGGGCTTTCCTCATGATGAATGGATGCTGAGAATTAATCCTGAGCTTACTTCCTGGATATCAGAACCCTGCCGGGTAGGTAACGGGATCCCCCTGGTGCGTGTCAGACTCCTCCTCTCCTTGTGGCTTCATCTTGCCCTTTGCCAGCTTCTCTTATCAGCACCGCAGGGCACTGTGGGAAGCCGTCTCTGCTGTCACTCACTAGCAGGAAGTGGAGGCCTCAGCCAAAAATAATACAAAAACCTCGTCCAAGCAGCCATCCAGATGAGGGAATTAGCCACATGGGCGAAATGTCACAAAAACTATACAAAAGAAACATGTGTGAGGAAAGTTTTCTAAAAATGGAATAGAAGGAAGACGACGACTCAGGGGAGGAGAAGGTTAAGACCAGGGGAAAAAAGAAAGAGTGAAAAATGGCAAGCTGATGAAATGTAGTCAGTTTAACCTTAATCCAAGCTGCGTTCTGGGTCATCCTGTGGGAGGAAATGGAAGATTAATTACCCTGATGGCTGCTGTGTGGTTTAGCAGCACCAAGAGTACCTGCCTCAGTCTTGTCTCTACTCCATAGCTAGGCGATGCCTACATCTTTTTCATTCTATTTTTCTAAGGAAAACAGATGATAAAGTGCCGGACTGATGTTTTAGAGCTCTCAAAGTCTTCATTTAATCCATGGAATTTGCACACACACATGAGGGATCATGCACATGCACACACACAGAGAACAACACTTCCCCATGCTGTTGGGCACATTGGCCAAAGGATTAGTTTATTCAGTGCTGTTTCAACACACATCAGTCTGTGTATTAACTGTGTGACTCATCCTTCATCTCTGGCTCCTTCTATTTCACTTAGCCGTTTGAGCTCACCTTTTTGGGTCTTTTTTGGGGGTTTTTTCTTGTTTTGGGAGGGTTTTGTTTTTTATAAAAGAACTCCTTATTCCTAACTCCTTCAGCAAATTACTTGGCTCCTTGAGCCGTCTGACACCCCATCAACATCTCAGAGACAAATAGGTAAGAGCACTCATATGACCAATTGTATGGGGAGAGAGAGCTGGCATACTCTTAGAGTCAGAATTAAAAGAATCTTAACAACGTAAGATAAATACCTCATTTTGCTGATGAGCGCACTGAGGCTTAAGAAAGACAAGTGGTTCTTCCAATGATACATGTCTAATTGGCTGTGGAGCTTAGATGGGGACGTTTGAAAACAGGAACAAAAGGAAAAGTATTAAAAAAAATACCCAGAAAGGTGAGTCATGGGAGAGATGTTAAGCTACATGTTTTCTTTTGTTGTGAGCTGCTGTAAAAGGTAAGCATCTCGCTGGCAATAATTTGGTTTCCAGGCTATCCCCGGGGACCCGTGTTTGGGACTGGGAACGATCTTTGTGGGCTTTGATGGAAGTCATTTTTTCCTCTTTCCTG